AAACCCTCACCATTAAGCGTATGGTTAAAAATCAGTTCATAATGTTCATGATTCCAATGTGTTTGGGTTATTGAGGACAGAAGCCCAAAAGATGACCATACATGGAGTCCCTGCCCCAGGCTGTCTAGTTGTAGACAATCCCTGTGCCCTGTAACTACTTTGAGCTGGCAGAGGAATTCTGATCTTCACCCTGAACTCCAGGCCCTTGGGCCCAACTCCCTGCCAGAAATGGTCATCTGATGGCTCTGCAGGCTTCTCGCATTTGAGGTGCCCCAAATTCACCTCATCTTGCTCCCAACATAGTACAGTGGCCAAGAGGATAGAATCTGGTGCTAGTCTTCCTGAGTTCAAATCCTGGCTCTACCATTTAGCAGCTGCACATACACAAATGATTTAACCCCTCTGTGCCTCTGTTTCTTCATCTACATGGATAGTAACAGTGCCTACAACACAGGGCTGTTATTAGAGATCAAGTGTTTAGACTGTGGAACAGCACAGCATGTTCAGCAACGACTGGCTTGTGTTGTTGCTGTCACTGTTAACTCCCTCCTCCCCCATCTCGGTTGGTGAACAGCGTCGGTATCTTCCAAGCCTTCAGGAAGTAAAAGTGAACCTGGCTCTTCCCAATCCATCACTTCACCCATCATTAGTCTCCCAAGCCTAGCTCACTTTATATTCCTAAAAACCTCCTGACTCTGCCTCCTTGTCTCCAACTCCAGGGACAATGTTTTGACTCAAACTTCCTTTTTTTTTTCTTACCTGGATGAATGCGGTTGACTTCTAAACTATCTTGGCTCCTCCAGTCTTGCACCCTCAGTAGAAACCACTGTGTCGCTTCCCTGTGGAAAAATACCTTCCTCGACATACTACTCTATGCCTCTAACCACAGTCTCCACCTCCCTGGTCTCCTTCCCCTCCCCGTCTCCAGCCACAAGGAACTAACCATGGGTGGATGCCCAACACAGCATGCACTCTTGTGTCTGGCCTTTGCACAAGTCACTCTCAGGCCTCATGATTCATTCTCTGCCTTCTTTACCAGGCAATTCACTGTGCTTGTCCTGAGGCCCAGCTTTTCTCTGAACTCAGCAGGGCCTTGTGTATGCCTCATCATGGCCCTCACCATGCTATATTGCACTTGTCTGTTCACTTGGCTATCTCCTCTACCTCATCATTCCCTTGGTGAGAAGTCTATTTGGTATGGTTAAGAAGAACATGGACGTCATTGTGCCAGGTTTGAATCCTGGCTCCTAGCACTTCCTAGCTATGTGACTTATGGCAAGTTGCCTCACCTCTGTACCTTCACTTTTCTTATCTATAAGGGCAATGAAAAGTCTTACCTCATAGGAACATTTTGAGAATTAAATGAATTACTTGGAACCATTCCTGGTACATAATAAGATAAATAAAGGGAGGCTATTATTATTGTTATTGCTATTATTATTATTATCCCTGTCCTATTATGAATTGGGACCTCAAATAGTACCTAGTAAAAAGTCAGCAACATAAGTAGGTTTTAAGATAAAAAGACAATGCCCCCAACTTGAGCCTGATTTCATTGCTTACCACTGGGTAACAGATATTTGCAAGCACTTAGACCTCACTGCCCCCACTGCCCCACCAGGGCAGCCCCCTGAGGGATGCACTCAGAGGCCAGTTCCGAGGACCCTGGGTGGCTTGGGGCAGGAGGAAGAGTGTGCACTTCGGAGCAAGAAGTCCAGAGTCTGCCACCATAAAACCCATTATATTCCACACACATTCCTTAATTTCTCTGTTTCCGCTGTAAAATGGAAAATCATACCTACTTTGCAATGAAATGTATAAAGCAACTGGCCTTGTGCTGGCATGTAGTAAATAGTGTCTACTAAAGTTAAAAAAGGGGCAGGTGGATGGCTCACTAGGTTGAGCATCCAACTTCGGCTCAGGTCATGATTTCACAGTTCGTGGGTTCAAACCCCGCATCTGGCTCTGTGCTGACAGCTCAGAGCCTGGAGCCTGCTTTGGATTCTGTGTCTCCTCTCTCTGCCCTACCCCTGCTTGTGCTCTGTGTCTCTCTCCCTCTCTGAAAAAAACTAACCATTAAAAAACATTTTTTAAGTTAAAAAAAAAACTTTTTTCTCAGCATTAATGCAGAACCATTCTAACTAATCAAAACACCCCAAAATCTTACAGAAGAAAGTTGTTAAAAGTGAATATTGGTATAATGTTAATAGGAAAGGAAATGGTTATTAAAGAGAATTCTCCAGGTATGTTTTGGAGATGAGGAATTTGTGTAAAATAAATCCTTTCTGATAATTTTCTAATTCCCTGAAAGTGAGATCCTGGCAAGTACAATCTTGTAAGAAGAAATGTCATGTGGAAGAGAACTGGCTATTTAAAGCCTGTTCTGGTATCTGTCTTTGATCCGTTCTGGGCCTTTCCCATACAGTAAGTGAGCCACATATCTGACCATGATTCCTATACAGACCTTTATTCCCTATCCCACACTGGCCAATGGGACTGGGCCCCTGCTATATACCAATGCCTAATAAATATTTACTCAGTTATTGAATGAATAAATGATCTCTTCTTAGCTCAGTGACCAGAGTTATTTGGTTACAGCCAAAGGCCACAGCTATGCTCACCTACAATTCCTAGAAATTACTTTTTCACCACTGCCTATCAAATAGGTCATGCACAGGAGGGAATATTTTACATGTGTGAGCTACACATTGTTCAAGTGAGGACTCCCCCCTATTCTTCTAGAGCATTCATTGGCCCCAAGAGATGAAGTTTGCCTCTTTCTCTTAAAAAAACAAAAAAATAAACAACAACAAAAAACTATAAACAACAAACAGTGGCTCCAGAACTAATTTCATAATAAAAAAAAATTCTCTCTACCCCCAACCCCCTCATCAAGAAAAAGAAATCCCTAGTAACAAAACAAAAACAACCATTACTGAGCATTTTCAGAGCATAATTTGTAGAACTCCTGGTAAGCATTCCAGAAGACAGATGCCTCTCTATTCTGAGCAAGTTCTGCTATCCCTGTGTCTCCAGGACAATTGTGCTGAGCCTTAACATGGCCAAGGGGCCGAGAACATAAAGTCATCACATGACCAATCATGAGTTCTGGGCATCATGATTACACTCCTTCTGGGCTTTACTCTCATTTCAAAGTTATTCTGTGGAGCACTTAAAAAAAAAATCTTCTGTCATGGTAGGCCAAACTTGGTATACAATCAAATGCTTAAAATATGATTGTTTTGACTTCAGAGTGAGACAGTTCAGTACAGAGCACAAAGCCTTGCCTGTGGAGTCAGGAGTCCTAGGTTCTAGTCCACTAGCTAGTTGTAGGACTTTAGGTACATCACTTAGTTCTCAAGTCCTCGGTGGTTTCAGCTGTAAAATGAGGTGAATTGGTCCAGACCATCTCTAAGTTTCCTTCAAGGGTGAAAACGTATTCAAAGCCATGTGTATTTAGCACATCAATTTTATCATATAGTACTGCTTTTGAATTAACTAACATAATACATCCTAACAGTTCCATTGTAGAAGCTAAATTAAAGGGCACTATTTTAGCTTGAAAATCTTTTCCTAGATTACTTTTCCAAATTAGTATATAGGGTAAACCAAAAGTCCCTGTTCATCTATATTTAAAATGGCCACAAATTTGTATGTACCTTAACAAATAAGACAAGAACTGTAAATGACATCTACAAGCAACTGGGGTATATTTTCAACATTTATTGTGACATAATGAATAAGAATTGTACTAATACCTGTGTGTGGAGTCACTGATAACATATTTGCATGATATATGGATAGTGACGCTAGGCAGATTCAACACATGATAGTAAAACATTTGTTATTTAGAATCTCCCAGAAATTAGTATGAGAAACCAACCAATCATGAACATAAAAGCACTTTTTCTTCGCAGCTGTGATTTCACTTTGCAGCAAAACAAAAGATATTAAAAAACAGAGTCCCCCACCCCATTTCCTCTTGGCTTTACTGCCTTACACACATTTACTCACGCTCCCTCCAGTCTCAATGGAGGTAGGGCTCATTCTTGCAAAAGTCAGTTTCTCTCCCTTGTACTGATAAAAGTTTTGCTCTTTGATGGATATGTGCCTAAACCAGAGTTGCCACACTCTGTCTCACTTGTATATCCTCAGTCCGTCCCTTTCTCCTGGTTCCTCCCTCTTTTCAACTAACTCATACAGTTATCCTGTACAATTAGAATAATTTGCTTGGCTATAATGAAACCTGTGTTAAAACTCCTTCTATTTAGATGAAGGGAAGCTTCCAAATACATTCTATGAGGCCAGCATTACCCTGATACTCAAACCAGACAAAACACTACAAAAAGGAAAACCATTGTCCAGTATCCCTGATGAACACAGCTGCAAATATCAACAAAGTATCAGCAAACCACATTCAACAATACGTAAAAAAAAGGATCAGACACCACAATCAAGTGGGATTTATTCCAGGGATGCAAGGATTGTTCAACGTTTACAAATCAATAAAAGTGATATAACACATTAACAAAATCAAGCATAAAACATACAATCACTCAAATAAATGCAGAGAAAGCATTTGATGAAATGCAACATCTATTTATGATAAAAACTCAATAAGGTTGGTTTAGAGGGAATATACCTCAAGGCCATATATATCAAAAACTCACAGCTAACACTAAACTCAATGGTAAAAAACAGAGCCTTTCCTCTAACATCAGAAACAAGACAAGGATATCCACTTTCACCACTTTTATTCAACACAGTACTGTAGGCTCTGGCCAGAGCTATCAGACAAGAAAAATAAATAAAGGCATCCAAATTGGTAAGGAAAGTACAACTGTCACTACTTGCAGATGATGTGATAGGTGACACAGAAAACCCTAAAGATTCCATCAAAAACAATTAGAAGTAATAAATAAATTCAGTAAAAGTGCAGGATACAAAGTAATATACAGAAATCAGTTACGTATCTACATACTAATAACACAATAGCAGAAAGATAAATTTAAAAAAAAATTCCATTTACTGTTGCACAAAAAGAATAAAATACCCAGTTGTAAAGTTAACCAAGGAGATGAGAGACCCATACTCTGAAAACTATAAAACACTGATGAAAGAAACTGAAGACAACACAAATGGAAAGTACTTCACACTTAAAGATTAGAAGAATTAATATTGTTAAAATGTCCCTACAACCCAAATCAATCTATAGAGTCAATGCAATCCCTGTCAAAATACCAACATCATTTTTTACAGAACTAGAACAAACAATCCCATAATTTGTATGGAACCACAAAAGACCCTGACTAGCCAAGACAATCTTGAGAATGAAGAACAAAGATGAAGGTATCACAATCCCATATTTCAAGATACATTACAAAGCTATAGTAATCAAAACAGTAAGGTACTGACACAAAACAGAGTTCAAAAGAACAGAATAGGGAACCCAGAAATAAACCCACTCTTATATGGTCAATTAATCTATAACAAAGGAGGCAAGAACATACAGTAGGGGAAAGAACAGTTTCCTTAATAAATGGTGCTGGAAAACTGGACAGCTACATGTAAAAGAATGAAACTGGACCACTTTCTTACACTATACACAAAAATATACTGAAATGGATTAAAGACTTAAATATGGGACATGAAGCCATAAAATTCCTAGAAGAAAATATAGGCAGTAATTTCACTGACATTGGCCTTAGTAACATTTTTCAAGATATGTCTCCTTCAGTAAGGGAAACAAAATCAAAAAAAGAAAAGAAAAGAAAAAAACTATTGAGACTACATCAAAATAAAAAGCTTCTGCACAAGCAAGCCAGCAATAAAACTAAAAGTCAGCTTACTGAATGGAAGAAAATTTGCAATGATATATATGATAAGGGGATATTGACTAAAACATATAAAAGAACTTACACAACTCTAAACCAAAACAGCCCAAATAATCTGATTTAAAGTGGACAAAGGATCTGAATAGACATTTTTCCCAAAGAAGACATATAGGCCAACAAACACATGAAAAGATGCTTAATGTCATCAATCATCAGGGAAATGCAAATCAGAACCACAATGAGATATCACCTCACACCTGTCAGAAAGGCTAAAATAAAAAAGACAACAGATAAAAAGTGTTGACCACGATGTGGAGAAAAAGGAACCCTCATGCACTGCTGGTAGGGATGTAAACTGGTACAGCCACTGGGGAAAAGAGTATGGAGGTTTCTAAAAAAATTAAAAATAGAAATACCATATGATTCAATAATGCCACTACTAGGTATATACTTGAAGAAAATTAAAACATTAATTTGAAAAGATATGTGCTCCCTTAGGTTTACTGCAGTGTTATTTATAATAACCAAGGTATGAAAGCAACCTAAGTGTTCATCAAAAGATGAACAGATAGACTCATTGTGTGGATAAAGATACACAATGGAATATTATTCAGCCATAAAAAAGATGAGATCTTGCCATTTTCAACAGCATGGATGGACCTAGGAGTATTATGCTAAGTGACGTAAGTCCAAGAAAGAAAAATACCAAATGATTTCACTTATATGTGGAGTCTAAAAACAAAATAAATGAATAAACAAATAAAAAGCAGAAACAGACCCCTATACCTTATCCCACTCTTGATCAAGAATCAAAGCTCACATTTTGGTGTATAGTCTTATATACTTCTTTCCATGCTTATAAATCATGTGTGAATATTTAAGTACATGTATTGAACTTTGGGGTAATTTATAGTAAAAAAAAAAAAAACCCTTAGATTCTATAGTATTTCCTTATTTACATCTCATAAGAAAACCCTTCTAAGTTACCTAGTTTGGATATAACTCATTTTTTTCAATAGCTGCATAATGATATGGATGCACCACAATTCATTCAACCAATTTGCTATTAATGAACTTTCAGGGTATCTCTGATTTAGTCATTACACATGATATTATAATGTTCTTTTTCTTTAATTTTTTTTTAACGTTTATTTATTTTTGAGACAGAGAGAGAGAGAGCATGAGCAGGGGAGGGTCAGAGAGAGAGGGAGACACAGAATCTGAAACGGGCTCCAGGCTCTGAGCTGTCAGCACAGAGCCCGACGCGGGGCTCGAACTCACGGACCATGAGATCATGACCTGAGCCGAAGTCGGCCGCTTAACCGACTGAGCCACCCAGGCGCCCCTGTAATGTTCTTTTTCAAACTGGCATATTTATTTCTAAAGAAAAAATTTCCTCTAGGTGAAGTGATACTAAAGTATACATGTATTTTTAAGTTATAAAAGATGCTGCCACATTATAAGACTCTAAGATTATAATGCTTCGATTTCAATGTATAATATTAACACTACTCTGATTAAAACTGAAAAATACAACATAGTAGAAAAATGGACAGAGTAACAATTCACTGAAGGGTAATTCCAAATAGCTAATAAATATAGTACCTCACTGATCATTAGAAAAATGCAAATTAAAGAAACATAAGATCATATCCAACTCATCGAATTGGCAAAAAAGAAAAGAAAAAGAATACTGATACTAAAATACACTGATGATTTACATCAGGCAAAAAGGGAAAAGGGCATTCTTTTAACATTAGGGACACTAATCATTTTCTGTTCTATTTGCTTGAAATATTTTTTTCAACTTCTTTCACATCTTTTGACTTGTTATAGTATTTTGGGCCAAGTTTAAAAATCCAAGTTTACATAGTCATATGTTTTTCCCTTAAGGCTTCTAGTGTTCTGTCTTGCTTCAAAAGATACTGTTTACCCCATCCTCTCCTAATTTTTCTTCTAACATTTTTACTGCCTTTTGTTTTATATTTAAATTTGTAATATCTTTGGGATTTATTTTTACATGTAATGAGAGATGAGTATAATTTTAATTTTCTTCCAGATGGAAAGCAAGTTATGTCAACATTGTTTATTAAGTCAATTATTTTTCTAACCTGAAATTGAAAATATCACCTTTGGCATATGTTAACTTCCCATAGTCACTAGAATTTATTTTTCGATTCTCTGTTCGATTCCATTGGTCTTTTAAGTCAATATCATATTGCTTTAATTACAGTGGCGCCACAGCATGATTTCATCTCTAGTAAAACATCACTGCTTTTATTTTTAATAATTTTGTTGATTACTTCAGACATTTAATCTTTCATGGGTTTTTAAAAAATTACTCTTTGTATTTTGAAGTAATTATAGATTCACACGCAATTTATAGAGAAATCCTATGATTCTCCCAATACCAGCATACTGATAAACTATAATACTGTACCACAATCATGGTACTGACATCAATCAAGTCAAGATATGGAACATTTCCACTGCCACAAGGATCCTTTGTGCTGCCCTTTTTAATTTTTATTTAATTTATTTTTTAAATTTACATCCAAGTTAGTTAGCATATAGTGCAATAATGATTTCAGGAGTAGATTCCTTAACGCCCCTTACCCATTTAGCCCATCCCCCTCCTACAACCACTCCAGTAACTCTGTTTTTTCTCCATATTTAAGAGTCTCTTATGTTTTTGTCCCCGTCTGTTTTTATATTATTTTTGATTCCCTTCTCTTATCTTCATCTGTTTTGTATCTTAAAGATCTCATGAGTGAAGTCATATATTTGTCTTTCTCTAATTTCGCTTAGAATAATACCCTCTAGTTCCATCCACGTAGTTGCAAAAGGCAAGATTTCATTCTTTCTGATTGCTGAGTAATACTCTGTTGCATATATATACCACATCTTCTTTATCCATTCATCCATTGATGGACATTTGGGCTCTTTCCATACTTTGGCTATTGTTGATAGTGCTGCTACAGACATTGGGGTGCATGTGCCCCTTTGAAACAGCACTCCTGTATCCCTTGGATAAATACCAGTAGTGCAATTGCTGGGTTGTAAGGTAGACCTATTTTTAATTTTTTGAGGAACCTCCATACCATTTTCCAGAGTAGCTGCACCAGTTTGCATTCCCACCAGCAGTGCAAAAGAGATCCTTTTTCTCTGTATCCGTGCCAACATCTGTTGTTGCCTGAGTTGTTAATGTTATGTGCTGCCCTTTTATAACCACACCCACTTCTGTTCCCCCCTACTCCTTCATATCTAGCAACCACTGATCTGTTCGCCATTTCTATAATTTTGTAATTTCAAGAATGTTATATAAATGGAATCATGGCAGTATAAAATTTTTGGGGATTGACTTTTCCACTTGGCATAATTCCCTTGGGATTCATCCAAGTTGTTGCCTGCATCAGTGGTTCATTTCCTTTTGTTGCTGAGTAATATTCCATGGCAACATACCACAATTTGTTTAACCATTCACTCACTGAAGAACATGTATCACTTCCAGTTACAAATTAAGTTCGTTTGGACGTTCACATCCAGGTTTCTGTGTGAATATAAGTTTTCACTTTTCTAGAATAAATGACTAAGAGTTTAATTGCTAAGTTGAGGTTATATGCTACTTACATGTTTAGCTTTATGAGAAATGGCCAAACTGTTCTCAAATGTGACTACCATTTGACATCCCACCAGCAATGCCTTAGTGGTCCTGTTTCTCCTATGCTCACCCGCATTTGATGTTGTCACTATTTGTTATTATAACCATTTGGATACGTGTGTGGTGCTATCTCATTATGGTTTTAATTTGCATTTCCCTAATGGCTAATGATATTTACCATCTTTTCGTATGTTTATTTTCCAACTGTATATCCTTTTTAATGAAATCTCTATGCATATCTTTTGCCCATTTTCTAACTGGATTTTTGTTTTTTACTGTTAAATTTTGAGAAGTCTTTATATATTGAAGATATTGTTTTTTTGCCAGATATGTGGTTTGCAAATATTTTATCCCAGTGTGAAGCTTGTTTTTTCATCCTCTTAAAAGGGTTGCTCCCAGAAGTTTTTTTAAATTTTGAATAAGTAAAATTCATTGATGCTTTTGGTATCAAATATACCAAGTCTCTGCCTAGCCTTAGATCCTGAAGTTTTTCTTTTATTTTCTTCTTAAAAATTTTATTTTTGCATTTTACATTTAAGTCTGTGATCCACCTTGAGTTAATTTTTGTATAAAATGTGAGACTTAGAATCAGGTTCTTTCTTTCTTTTTTTTTTTTTTTTTTTTTTTTTGCCTGTGGATATCCAATTGCTCCAGCACCACCGTTGAAAAAATCTATTTTCCTGTATTGAATTGCTTTTGCACTTCTGTCAAAAATCAATTAGGCATATTAGTGTAAGGATATTTCTGGTTCCTTTACTCTATGTCCATTGATCGCTGTGTCTAGCCCTCTGCCAATATCACACAGTCTTGATAACTATAGTTATATAATGTTCTTGAAATCCTGGAAATTGATCTTCCCCACTTTTTATTTTCAAAATTATTCTACCTATTCTAATTTCTTTTCTTTTCCACATATATTTTAGAATAGTACTGCTTATCTCTAGAAAAATAGTAATTTTTTTTTTATCAGTTTGGGGGAGAACTGACATCTTTACAGTGTTGGATTTTCCAATCCATGAAAATCTCTATCTATTTGGATCTTCTCTGATGTCTTTCATCAGTATTTCATAGTCTTCATCACACAAGTTCTGTACATTTTTTATTAGGTTCATATCTAAGTGTTTAAAGTTTCTGAGCAACTCTAAATGATAGATTTTTAATTTGTATCCAGGTGTTCATTGCTAGTATACTGAAATATGGTTGACTTTGTGTATTTTTAACTTCTTCTTGAACTTTGCTGAATTTACTTTGTGCTTCTGTAGGGTTTTCATTTTTTAAATGTGTATTTATTTATTTTTTTTAATTTTTTTTCAACGTTTATTTATTTTTGGAACAGAGAGAGACAGAGCATGAACGGGGGAGGGGCAGAGAGAGAGGGAGACACAGAATCGGAAACAGGCTCCAGGCTCTGAGCCATCAGCCCAGAGCCTGACGCGGGGCTCGAACTCATGGACCGCGAGATCATGACCTGGCTGAAGTCAGACGCTTAACCGACTGCGCCACCCAGGCGCCCCAAATGTGTATTTATTTTTGAAGCACATGCGCGCGCGCGCGCACACACACACACACACACACACACACACACACACACACACACACACACACAGGGGAGGGACAGAGAGAGGAAGAAAGAGAATCTCAGGCAGGCTCTATGCTGTCAGTGTGAACCCTGAGGTGGGCCTGGAACCCATGAACGCTGAGATCACTACCTGAGCTGAAACCAAGAGTCGGATGCTTAACCAACTGAGCCACCCAGGTACCCCTACCTATAGGGTTTTGTTTTTTTTTTTTTTTTTTTTTTTTTTGGAGATTCCTTAGAATTTTCTATGAAAATGACTATATCATCTGCAGATAGAAACGGTTTTATTTCTTACTCTATGCTATGTATCTTTTATTTATCTTGCTTTACTGTCATGGGTAGAACTTCTAATACTATGGATGAGAATAATAAGAGTGGACATTCTCCCCAGTTTTAAAGGGAAACCATTCAGTATTTTACCACTAAGTATAATGTTAGCTGTAGGGTTTTCTGTAAATTGGCTTCTTGAATTTTTTCAACATTGGTTGAAAATTGGTTGATTTTTCAAATATTGAGCCAGCCTTGTATCTCTGGAATAAACTCTACTTGGTCATGATGTATACTTCATTTTACACAATGTTGAACTCTGCTTATTTTTGTTCAAGATTTTAAGTCTATATTCATGAGAGATACCGGTCTGTAGTTTCCGTTTTTTGTAGTGTCTGTTTCTTTCATGGAGGTAAATATTAGCTTCATAAAATGAATTGTTAAGTATTCTCTCCTTTTGTTTTTTTTGTTTTTTTTGTTTTTTTTTTTGAAGAGATTGTATAGAATTGTGTTATTTCTCTTCTAAACATTTGGGCCTGGAGGTCTTTTTTGGCAATTTTTAATTGTGGATTCAATTTCTTTAATATTGAGTGAACTCTGATAATTTGTGTTTTTCAAGATGTTGGTTGATTTCATCTAGGTTGTGTGTAGTTATTCATAGTATCTCCTTGTCATCGTTTTGGTGTCCACAGGCTTCACTATAGATGTCCCCTGTCTCATTCTTGATTTCAGAAATTTGTATCTTCTCTCCCTTTACTTTTGGTGTCAGTTTTGCTAGTTGTTTTTCCAATTTGATTGATTCTTTTTCAAAAACCAATTTTTTTTGTTTCACTGTGTTTTTTTTCCTATTGCTTTCCTGTTTTCAATTTCACTGATTTTTGTTCATATCTTTATTATTTTCCTCTTTTTCTCATTTTCCACTTATTTTGTTCTTCTCTTTCTAGTGTTTTGAGGCAAAAGCTTAGATTATTGATTTGAGACTTCCCTTCTTTTCTGATATAAGCACTCAGTGCTATAAATATAGTTCTCTTTCAGCACTACTTTAGCTGTGTCCCTCAAATTTTTTATGTTGTATTTTCATTTTCATTAATTCAATATATTTTTATTCCTTTTAGGTTTTCTATTGACCCATGGATTATGTAGAGGTATGTTGTTTATTTTCCAAGAATTTGGAGATTTTCTTATTATCATTCTGTTACTGATCTCTAACTTGATACCACTGTAGTTAGAGAACATAATCTGCCTGATTACAATTCTTTAATAATTGATCAAGGTTGGGGGCTCCTGGGTGGATCAGTCAATTAAGGGTTTGACTCTTGATTTTGGCTCAGGTCATGATCTGCAGTTCGTGGATAGAGCCCTGCATCAGGCTATCTGCTGAGAGTACAGAGTCTGCTTAGGATTCTCTCTCTCCCCCTTTCTCTGCCCTTCTCCTGTACTCACTCACACACTCTCTCTCAAATAAATAAATATTTAAAAAATGATTTTAAAGTTTGTTTTATGGCCTACTATATAGTCTCTCTTGGTCTATGTTCTGTGAGCACTTAAATAGAATGTGTACTCTTCTGTTTGGGGATGGAGTGTTCAAACATTGATTAGGTCCCATTGTTTAATGGTATTGATTTCTTCCATATCACTGATTTTCTGTCTAGTTGTTCTATCAATTGATGGGAAAGCAGTGTTGAACTCTCAACTATAATATTTAATTCTTACAGTCTGTATCTGTTTTATTTCACATATTTTGCAGGGATTTTTTGTGTATAAATATTTAGAATTCTAGGTCTTATTGATGTATTAACCCTTTTATCATTATATAATATCTCTCTCTGATGTCTGAAGTCTGTTTTATCTGATATTAAAGTAGCTACTCCTGCTTTCATTTTATTAATTTTATATGTTATGTCATTTTTCCTACTTTCAACCTACTTATATCACTATGGTTGAAGTGAGATTGTTGTAGTAGTGTATTTTTAGGTAGTTTTTAAATACATTCTGCCAAACTTTGTGTTTTAACTGGTTCATTTATACCACTTACATTTAATATAATTATTGATATGTTAGGATGTAAGTCCGTCATTCATTTTTTGTTTTCTTCTGTTGTTCTTTGTTTTCTTTTTCCTGCTTTCCTTTTTGATACATGAATATTTTCTATACTACCTAAAGCAAAGTACAGATTTAGTGCAATCCCTATCAAAATACCAACAGCATTTTTCACAGAATTAAAACAAACAATCCTAAATTTTGTATGGAACCACAAAATACTTGAATAGACTAAGCCATCTTGGGAAAGATTGCTTTCTTTCCCAAAAGAAAAAGCTAGAGCCATCACAATCTCAGATTTCAAGATATAGTCCAAAACCACAATAATCAAGACAATGAGGTATTGGCACAAAAACAGACACATAGATCAATGGAACAAAATAGACAACCTGGATATAAACCAACAATTATATGGTCAATTAATTATATGGTCAATTAAGAAGGCAAGAACATAACAGGGCAGAAGACAGTCTCCTCAATAAATGGTGCTAAGAAACCTGGACAGCTACATGCAAATAAAGTGGACGACTCTCTAACACCACACACAAAAATAAATTAAAGACCTAATGTGAGATGTGAAACCATAAAACTCCTAGAAGATAATATAGGCAATAATTTCTCTTACATCAGATGTAACAACACTTTTCTAGATGGGTATTCTGGGGCAAGGAAAACAAAAGCAAAAATAAATTATTGGGACAACAACAAAATAAAAATGAATGAGAGAAGATACCTGCAAATGATATATCCAGTAAGTGATTAATATCCAAAATATATAAAGAACTCATAAAACACCAAAAAAAATAAAGTATTATTTTAAAAATGGGCAGAAGACATGAATAGACATTTTTCCAAACTTTGTATGAAAAGCATGAAAAGATGCTCGGCATCACTAATCATCAGGGAAATGAAAATCAAAACCACAATGAGATATCACCTTATACCTGTAAGAATAGCTAAATTCACAGAGATAACAAATAACAAGTGTCAGAGAGGATGTGGAGGAAAAGGAACTTTTGTGCACTGTTGGTGGGAATGTAAATTGCTACAACCACTGTGGAAAATAGTATGAAGGTTTCTCAAAAAATTAAAAATAGAAATACCATATGATTCAATAACTCCACTACTGGCTTTTTACCCAAGGAAAATAAAAACACTAATTCAAAAAGATATATGCCCCATATGTTTACTGCAGCATTATTTACTATAGCCAAGATATGGAAGTAAACTGAGTGTCCATCAATAGATAAATGGGTAAGGACATTATCTATGGGAAGATGTGAGGTGTGTGTGTGTATGTGTGTGTATATCATCCAGTCATAAAAAAGGAGACTGTGCATTTGAAACATGGATAGACCCAGAGTGTTTATGCTAAGTGAAAGAAGTCAGACAGGGAGAGACAAAATACCATATGATTTCACTCATAAGTAGAATCTAAAAAAACCCCACAAATGAATAAACAGACAAAAGGCAGAGTCAGACCTATAAATACAGAGAACAAACTAATAGCTGCAGAGGAGAGGTAGGTGGGGAGTTGAGCAAAATGGGTGAAGGGGAGTTAGAGATATGAGCATTCAGTTAGGAAGTAAGTCACAGGAATAAAAGGCACAGCATAAGGAGTGTAGTCAATGATATTGTAATAATGATGTATGGGGACAGACAGTAGCTACAATTGCAGTGAACCAGCATAATGTATAAACTTGCCCAATCACTAAGTTGTAAACCTGAACCTAATGTTAACGTTGAGTGTCAACTGTACTTAACGTTTTTTTTAATTAAAAAACATGCAATGAAGCAATCATTTGGAAAAAAATTTTCAGTAAAGCTTTACCCAGCTGAGCTTTACACAATATCTTCCATCCATACTCAGACTGAAAAATCACAATGAAAACAATAAAAGGAGAAAGAAACACAAATTGTCTACAGACACCTGGCAATCAACTAGCCACTCAGGCAGATAGGTTTGATAGGGTACCTGCCTCTGCTCAACTTCCAGGCAATATCCCCAGGGTCCCAAGTGGCACAAAAATGTAAAAAAATGTTGTCTAGAAAAGAGTAGGGTAATTTGGGGACAATTGCTGCAATATGGAAATAAGTCCATAGACTTTACCCCTTTTTTATAAGTATTTCTACAATAGCATTTCACTCTTCACTTCTTCTTAAAGGCAGAGTTCTAGCCTTCTCTAACATTTTCTGTGTGTCATTCAATGAAGTGATCAGAGACCAATGGTTTGGATTCCTGAGCAAAGACCCTCTACAGAGGCCTTGCATATAGCATCCAGTTTGACTCTTGTCTTCCAGAGAAAGAAAATGAAACCTTCATATATCTATTCCTTAGAATGTAAAAACCATTGCTTCACGGCTAGTCCTGTCATTTGGAAAGTGTTAATTGGTTGAAGTAAGATCATCTTGGCCTTCATTAATATTGTGTCCCTGTTCTTTTTTGCCATAGAGAAAGCACTGTTATAATTGAAAGGCAGGTCCACAGCTTCACAGGTAGGGATGAGACAAGTACTGCTAATTTGCTCAGTGTCACACCTGCTTTGTTCTTCATTAGACCAAAGGGGAAAGTCAAAGGTTCCAGGAAGCCTGCAGGGGGAAAGAAGTGTTCCCAGTCCCAGTTGTTGCCTAGGAGCCCAGACAACCCCAGAGGGGAAAGGACAGTCCTTACCAAAAACTATCACCATAAAGTACAATCCTTCCAAATTTCTACACTCATACAGAATATTAGTGAACATCCAAGATGTGACACCACTACTCTAGGTACTGGGGACATATCCGTGAACAAGAAAGGCAGAGCTCCTGTCTTCAGATAACTTACACACCGGTGAGGAAGACAAAGATACGATGTATTTTTGGTTATTAATAAGAAGTACAAAGAAATGCAATGCAGGAGAGGTGATAATGATGGAGTAGGAGTGCTATTCTTAGATAGAGTAGCCATCTTGAAGGGATGGCATTTCAGCAGAGACCTGAATGAAGTGGGGAGCAAGTAATACTAAGTTCTAGGGGCAGAGATTTCATGAGGAAGTACCAAGGCCTGGAGGCAGGATGTTGCTGGGTGTGTTTGAATATTGTCAAGGCCGGTGCACTATCCCCTTACATCAGTCAACAGAAGCCCGGCCCTCAATTTCTGCTTCACAAAGACCCAACTCCCTCCCTTCTTCTCTCTCTCTCTCTCTCTCTTTCTCTCTCTCTCTCTCCCCTTCTCCCTCCCTCTCTCTCTCTCTGTCACACACACGCACACACACACACACACACACACACACACACACACGCACGACCAACACATGGATGTCTCCATCACACAGAAGCTGGT